TTTCCCTCCCCATCAGTTGACAGCCTGTGAAGATGCAGCACCATTGAGAAGACACAGTTGTAAAGTGAATTGGAATAAGAACAGAAAACCCTTCTTGGACATGAAGATGCAGCTTGCTTTGATTCCCATACAGCAGGGACAGGTTGATAACAGGAGCCGGATGTGTGTTTTAAGAAGGCAAGAGGCAAACTAATGAGACTAGAACTCCAGCACCCTCTGGTGATGAAATTAAGACATCAAAAAACCCAGCATACAAACCAACCAACCAACACAACAAATCCTGTGCTAATAGCTTTGCTGGTGAATGCGCGCAGCTATGTAACTGCATTGCTATGCAACTTTCGAATAAGAAACCGGAAGCATTATAATATGTCAGAATACAAAGGCAGTAATCTTGCGGTTAAGGCACTGGGCAAGGACACAAAAGATCCAACCGAATTCAGTGTCTGGGTGTGCCCATGTCTTCCCGTATCCGCAGGCAAGTCACTTAGAGCTTGAATCTCAAAGTACCTGCAGGCTCCATGAAGAACAGCTGGAGTTTTGCACGCTTTGTAGTTCTGCAAAGCAGGCCCTTCTGTGTATTGTGTCTATTCACAGATCCCCCATGTGTAAAATGGGGATTATAACACTTCCTTTTTCTGACCGTTTGTGTATCTTCCTGTTGCGTTTCTTCCCCTTTACACAATAATGATAGTAGGTAGAAGCCACAGGGCATGGTGGAGCTCAAATAACTGAGTTTTCTGTGTATAAACAGCATGGTAGGACTAGTCACAAACACAAATTGCTGCTATGGTCAGCTTCTAAAAAACACACACAATGCGTGCTGCTAGAGGGTGTGCAAATTCTTGAGAGCGATACAACCTCATGTGTGCAAAATGCACAGTGACAGAGCAGTTAAAGTATCTTGCCCCAATTGCAGAGGTGAGTTTGAAGGCCAAAAGGCTCACCCCACACAACCCAGCTGTACACCTGGTCATTTGGAAAGGACAGTCCAAAGTAGCCAGACATGATGTTAACCCACATCGCTCCCTTATGTGCCATTGGCTATAGAAATTGGTGTGTCCTAACTGTACTAGCCCAATGGCTTGCTAGGCTTTGGCTCTGACACAATTCCTGCATGCAACACTTGCTCATCTATTTGGATTTGAGCGTTTTGGTTCAAGGCCTGCTCTCTGCTCATGCACCTGAGCTCAAGTACCGTGAGCCTCAAACCTTCAACGAGAGGAAGAAAAGTAATACTATCAAAGGACACTGGGATGATATAGCAGGCGGCAAACTGGGTGTCTCGGACGGCCAGAGCCGACTCGAGGTGATCTAGAAATTACCTGTTCGTCAGGGCGGGCTGGTGAATGGAGAGGCAGACAAGGTTTATTGGTTGCAAAAACGTTTACTTACGCCGCTTGTAGTTGCGACGCAGATGGTCCGGTCGCCTGAACAACCACGTGGGTTGTTCCAGCTGGTGGGGCCCAAGCCAGTGAATCCGTCCGTAAATCAAGCCGGCGGGAAAAGGGTACGTCTGGGATTGCGCTCGGCGACAGGAAGAAAGATTGATAGGTGATCAGTCTATCGATCAGCTAGCCGCAAGCCAGATCTCTTTAGAGGCACTCTGCAGCGTGCTCAAAGTTCTTCGACTTGGGCGGAAGTCGCGCAAATTTTTAAACGGCCAGCGAGCCAATTACTAGCCGCCACCTGTGAATAATTTAGCACTGGCCAATAGCGGGACACAAATTTGCATTCGAATAGCGGGAACTCTTTGCACCGTGCATTTCTGTGCTGCAAGGAAGAAATGCATCCTGCAAATTGGCGGGAAGTCTCTTGCACCGAGGTTCTTCTGTGCAGCAAAAACCCTCGCTGTGCAAGACGCTCTCATGTGGCAAGAAAATTCCATCGTGCCGAGGCACCAAAATCACTGGGTTGTGACACTGGGCTTTACAGCATGATGCTACTGCAAGGAGGGCCCAGGCTTTGTATCACAGAGCAAGGAAGTGAGAATCCCTCCTACTCCACACACTTGGGAAATTATGTTCACATCTGAACACTTCTTCTACCTCCAAGACATGGACAGAAAATAACTATGAATCTAGGCATGCACAGGCTGTGTGAGGAGGAAAGATTAATAGCCAAACTTCTGCTAGCTGTCTGCAGTAGGTAGATTCATTTCTTCCCGTGTGGTGACTCACGTTAGATACAGCTAGTGGGACCAACGCTATTAGAGTTCAATTTGTGCAGCTTGGCTAAGGAACAACTCTGGTAGGACAGAAACAGCTGCTGCCAGCAGAAAGGGGGAAACATCAGTCCAGGTCAAGCAATCATTAGGCAACTTCACAGGGTTAATTATGAGCAATGGGTTGAAATTAAGACTGCAAAAGTCTGCAAGAGCATCAGCAAAACACCTTCACTTACTGCAACTGTCCTGCAGGCTGCGGTACATGGGAAAGGTGGAATTCTCCATGCCTGATATACGTACAGGTAGACTTGATACTCTATTAATACTCAAACAGCAGACTACAGTCAAATCCGGGCTGGGAAACCGACTGGAAGACCTTTCCAAGCTCCCGTGCACATAGATGAGGAGGGCGACAGGAGTAGCCTGTTTGTAAAGAGCCGTGCCTTCCTGAAACGCTAGTTGAGCTCACCTGTGTATGGTTGTCCTAGCCTCCACTGCTGCTCCATCCAGCCCAATGCTGGCCCAAGCAGAAGGCATGAATGTCACCCTTAAACTTGCTCTATGTTTCTTCTCCTCTCCCTGAACTTGTGCAATCTGAGCTGGTCTTATGACAGAGGAGAAAAGGACTTCTATGGAAATTGCAACAAAAGAAAAGCATTTACATTTTCCACAAAAAACGTTGATGTTTCCAGTGAAAATTCAAAGAGGAACACTTTTTTTGGCCTGAACCCAAGCAATATGCATTTGGAAACATCACTGCTACATCCCACACTTACTATTCTGGTGTTTAGTACTCCAGCCTTTCCAAGTCTCCTCTTTTGGCCGGGTTGCCTGTTTGGCATACAACTCCTTTGTACTACACAGTCTTCTTGTAGAGGAGAGGCCATGCACCTCGGAAACCCCTGGCTGAGGTGCATCCTGGGAGATGTAGTCTACCTGGGGAAAAAGGACCCTAGAAAATCATGCGTACACTAGGCCACCAAAGTACAATTCCCACGAAGTACAGTGGCAGCCTTGCAAATACCTTCATTGGCAAATAGTTCACCATTTACTGACATGGTTGAGTGCTTTGTGCTCAAATTTTCAGTTAGAAACAATGGAGTGCCTTTCAAAGAGCTCATGCTTTTGGGGGAAAAGGTCGTGCAGGCAAAATCCCAGGCTTCTGTGGGAGAAATGGTTTAGTGGAAACTTGTCAACCAGCTCTTCTAACCCCCGCTCTGTTGTTGACTGTGTGCTGGCCCAAACCAGCCTTGCAGGACAGCAAGAGGCGTAAGGTGCTCTTCATGGCATTGTTGGTGCTGCACAGATACCTTTCTACGGTTGCTGCTCCTCCTGTTTTCATTGGAAGAGTCTGGGAACCGGGGATCTCTGTCTTGAGTCTGGCTGGATGCCTGAGCTGGAGACCCACTGGACAGGCAGCAAACCTCAGCAGCAGCTGGAGGTGGGTTTGGAAGTGCGCTGTCAGAGATTAATTCCTCCCTTTAATGTAGCAGAAGACCAAAGGAAGAAGTCTGCCTCAGAGCGGGGGTCTCCAACCTTATCCAGTTAGCTCTTGTGGTGGTTTGTCTCTCTGCCCACTTGGGTTCAATTCCCTTTTCTGCTATAGGCTTCCTGTGCGCCCTTGAGAACCTCACTTGTTTTCCTGGGCCTCGGTTCCTTATCTAGAAAATAGCACTCCCTTGCCTCTCAAAGGTGTGGGGATGATAAATGCATTGAGGAGTGTGAGGGTTTTAGGTTGTAGCCGTGTTGGTCTAAGGACATAGGTAGACAAGATTCCTTGGGTGAATTTGATATCTTTTATTAGACCAACCCAAATAGTTGGAGAAAAGTTATTAAGCAAGCTTTGCGACCTTGAGGAGTGTGAGGCACTGTGATATGATGATAGCGGAAACAAAGTCAGTGCAGAGCAAGTGGCAAACTGATGGGCTGCAACGGAGCAAGTAGCAAACTGATGAGCTGAACCTGGATTCTCATGGGGTCGGGGTCAGAGTCACACTCCCAGGGGCAGGAGGGATGTTGGCCTCCAGCCTGCATCATACCCTGGGCAGTAGAGTTCAGGAGGGTTACAAGTTTGCCCACAGAACAGAGGAGTAGGAAGAGCTAGGAGTGGTGCACTCTGGGATGCTGGAGGTATGAAAGTAAGGTGTTTTATCTCCCTGGAGCAGTCTAACAGTACCCTGGAATGGCCTGGGTAAAAGGCTCAAGGGTAAACCTTATTCCGAGTGGTATAACTTAAAAACAGTTAGAGGGCATTTATGTCAATTTAAGTGCCTTTATGATGGTTTAAAGCTAACCTGTAACGTGGCCCCATGAACTGATTGGTCCTTCTTTTCAGTGGCAATGCGTGGGGGTGCACGGGGTTACACGTGCAACCCCTGAGAGCGTTGGTACACCCCCTGACTGACTGCACTTGCTGCTTAGGTGATGGGCAGAGGTGGCAGGCGGGAGCGCCGGTGCCTCTCCTGCAAGCGGTGGCCAATTGCTGCGATCGCTGCAACCACTTCTGGGAGCGCTTGCAGCGATTGGCCATTGCGGGGGGGACCCCTCCCAGTCCACAGAATCACGCACAGGGGATCCCCGGGTCAGCAGGATCGGCCATGGGGGGACCCCCCCAGTCAGCAGAATTGGTTGCGGGGGCATCCTCCGCTCCGGGGTCAGCAGGATTGGTTGCAGGTGGGGCACATGCTCTCCTCTGACTAAGGCGGCACCAGTCGCCCATGCTTCTTTTCCACTGAATACCACATGGAAAGCTCTGTTTCTATTATAGGAGGATATGCCTACCGATGCAACTGAGATCTTAATCAGATATTAATTGTAGCCATTAATAAGGCAGATAATGAAGTACTTAGATCCCCAGCCTTGATGGAGATGAGTTAATTACATCTCACTGCTCAGAGACCCATTAATCTGTGTATATGATGATTTTTCTCATTCCTTTGCTTCTTACAGGAAATAAAAACATTATTCCAGCCACACTTACTTATATGTACTGGGTCTTCTCGCTTAGTCATGAAATTACTCATCTGGGGGCTGGAATTTTCATCTGGTATAAATCAATATCGCTCCCCTGGCTTCAGGGGAGCTGCTGCCATCTCTGTGAGCTGGGGATTTGGTCTGTGATCTATTAATGGAAAAGGGCCTGTCTCTGGGAAAAGACATTTTGAGCAAGTAAATGAAGGGAAGTAATGCTGAGATAGTCATCAATCATCTCTGTTGCTGTTGCAATTGGCCCTTTAAAAAATTAATTCTTCAAACTGAACTGAAGAGGTCTTGTCATTTCAAGGAGTGGCGCAGGGCCAGATTGTGCATGTCTTGTACAGAGGACCTTAGCCTTGGAGAAACCCCTGCTTTATTTTACATTGGGCCACTCTTACTTGTGGATCCCAGGGTGGCTACTTGGGGGATCAGAGGGTGTGCAGTGGCACAACACCTGGGTAGATCTTTTTTAGAGGCTATGCTGATGTGCT